ACTCAAAATACCACACACCAATATTGGCAATGTTACAGCAAATAAAATACTCAAAATACCACACACCAATATTGGCAATGTTACAGCAAATAAAATACTCAAAATATCACACACAATATCGCAATATTACAGCATATAAAGTACTCAAAATACCACACACACACACACACACATTATCTGCAATATTACAGAAAATAAAGTACTCAAAATACCAAACACAAACACTCATGTGGAACACATAGAAGATGTATCAGCTGTAGAAATTTGAAAACTTTAGAAAACTGCAAAACATGATGAAATTCATTATTACATTGCAAATAGACAAGAAGGATCATGAGAGACAAATCTGCAGTTAACCTACAAATTCATTACATTACATACGCCTCAAAAGATATGAAAAATTAAATAAAACCTGACCAAGACTGGTATTAAAGAGCCCCTAAAAAACTTGGATCTCTCTATGACCTTCATCCAAACTATAGAATTACAAACGTTCTGTATTTTGAAACCACAAAATTTCTTTATATATAATCTTCATAACTGTTTTCTAGTATACTATATATATATATATCATGACTTTCTATTCTGATACTAACTTACCAGTTCAATTTGGGAGCATTTGGTAGAAAGTAAGAAAGCATTTAATTTGATGTCAGAATTAAAATTGTCTTTGGGACCATACTGTTGATTTAATATGGCAAGAAATCAAATTTGTGAACTAATCTGCAATCACTCAAAGTCTATCACTTGAATAAAACAGAACAAATAAAATGGCATTGACCAATATGAAAAATAACAACTGACTTCAGAGATAATCTTGTCAGTCACTAATAAATAACTAATCTCAGATAATCTTGTCAGTCATTAAGAAATAACAATTGACCTCAGATAATCTTGTCAGTCACTAATAAATAACTAATCTCAGATAATCTTGTCAGTCATTAAGAAATAACAATTGACCTCAGATAATCTTGTCAGTCACTAATAAATAACTAATCTCAGATAAT